AGTAGCTGGGACTCCAGGCATGAGCCACCATGCCTGGCTAATTTTTTCTATATATTTTTAGTTGTCTGATTAATTTCTTTCTATTTTAGTAGAGACGGGGTCTCGCTCTTGCTCAGGCTGGTCTCGAACTCCTGAGCTCAAACAATCTGCCCGCCTTGGCCTTCCAGAGTGCTAGGATTACAGATGTGAGCCACCACGCCCGGCCCATTTTAATTTTCTTGATGAAATGGTAACTAGACACTTGGGTAATCAGTTTTATATCCCACAGTTTGTTTTTATGTTGGGGGCAGTTCAGAGGAATTGAACTTTGATCCTGATCCCTAATATATTATACTTCCATGGAGAAACTGAGCTCATTTTATTTAACCACATATGTCTATGGTAGAGAAGAATTATGTTTATATGCAGATATAAATTGTCTGAACTTGTTATGAACAAAAGATAATAAGGGGAAACTTGGATATCCACATACAGTTTTTCTGGAATTAAAGAAAAAAAATCAGACACTGACAAAGGATTGAACTGAGAAACAATGCTCGTAATACTACAGAAATGAGAAAAAGAGGCAGTGGGCAACAGAGAACTCTGTCCTGCTCAGAGATCCCCACAGAATCCCTGTCCCCTTCCCCCAACCCCCTGCCAGAATGTTGGGTTTCAAAGAATGAGCAGATTAATGGCTATCAGGAGTAGTGTGGCCTGGGCTGATGATAAAGAATAATTTGCCTGTGTTACAGTACTGGCTGAATCCCTACAGATCTACTTGGAATATCTCTCTAGGAGGGTAAAAGGAACTTAGCCAAGGAACATTAAAGCTGTTGCTGTTGGAAGGAAGTCATATGCTAAAACTACTAAAGGACAGGAGAGAAGCAAGAATAGAAGGAGACACAGCCTAAAGTTTATAAGACTCTAAGTTGGGCAACAACTACCCATAAGGGAGCCAGCATAGGTCTGAGATTAATACCTGAGCTTCCGAGGGTCTGTGTGCCAGGAGAGCTGCAGCTGATGGACATAGGTCCTGTATCATCAACTGATTCATTTGGGCCATGTCACTGGTATCATCATTAAAAGACTCTGCCTCCATCCTGCCTTCCCTACAGAAAAACCAAGTGGCCTTAGAAGAGACTTGGGCTCTGCAGAAGTGGAACTTGAGGCTGGGGCTAGTGCCAGTAACTTCATGTGTCAGGTTAGAGATTTTGATGCTGTTAATGATTTTTCTGCCAAGCATGTACTGTCACCTGAGATTGGTATATTATGCTTCCTATGAAATAATTATTCCTAAGAGACTAACAATCCAGGAAAGAGATAACCTAGTGGAAAAAACATCTTATCTGCTATTTATGCAAGGCCAGAAGCACCTGGTTCACCTGAAGGTGAAGAGAGACTATTTTGTGAATAACTTTCCAGTCTACAGTTACCACAATGGCATGCTGAGGCAAGAATTGCCTTTCATTTCACATGACTGTCACTATGAAGGCTACACAGAAGGAGTGCCAGGTTCTTTTGTTTCTGTCAACACCTGTTCAGGCCTCAGGGGCATCCTGATTAAGGAGGAAAAATCTTATGGCATTGAACCCATGGACTCTTCAAAGCAGTTTGAACACGTGTTATACACCATGGCACATCAAGTGCACGTCTCCTGTAGTGTCACTTCCAAAGACAGCCAAGCGGTGTCCACCAGCTGGCAACGAGGGAGCAGGAAGCCTCATCATCTACAGGCACTGTCCTACTTGTGGTCACACGCCAAATACGTGGAGATGTTTGTCGTGGTCAACAACCAGCGGTTCCAGATGTGGGGCAGTAACATCAGTGAGACAGTCCAGAGAGTAGTGGATATTGTTGCTCTGGCCAACAGCTTCACTAGGGGAATAAACACAGAGGTGGTGCTAGCTGGAATGGAGATTTGGACTGAGGGGGATCTAATAGAGGTCCCAGTGGACTTGCAGGTTACACTGAGGAATTTCAATAGCTGGAGACGAGAGAAGCTCTTCCATCGTGTGAAGCATGATGTTGCCCACATGATCGTTGGACACCATCCTGGAGAGAGTATGGGCCAGGCATTTCTCAATGGTGCCTGTTCAAGCGGTTTTGCGGCAGCTGTTGAATCCTTCCACCATGAAGATATCCTCCTGTTTGCAGCGCTCATGGTCCACGAGCTCGGGCACAACCTGGGTATTCAGCACGACCACTCGGCCTGCATGTGTAAGGATAGGCACTTTTGCCTCATGCATGAAAATACCACTAAACAAAGTGGCTTCAGCAACTGTAGTTCTGACTACTTCTACCACTTCCTTCGTGAACACAAAGGGGCCTGCCTATTTAACAAGCCGTGGCACAAAGGCCGCAAGCGTAGGGATCCCACTGTGGAAATGGTGTGGTGGAAGACCTGGAGGAGTGTGACTGTGGTTCTGATTGTGACAATCACCCATGCTGTGATCTGACATGTAGTCTGAAGATGGATGCTAAATGTAGTAATGGACTCTGCTGCCATGTCTGTACTTTCAGAAGTCTGAGGTTTTTTTTTTTTTTTGAGA